GGTGGAATCTCCCTCTCTGGAGATATTTAAGAACAGGTTAGATAGACATCTGTCAGGGATGGTGTAGACGGAGCTTGATCCTGCCTTGAGGGCGGGGGGCTGGACTCGATGACCTCTCGAGGTCCCTTCCAGTGCTATTATTCTATGATTCTATGATTATTCTAATATAACTTCAACTTTACTAAACTTAACTTTTAACTTTTTTTAAAAAAATAAACAGAGATAAGGTAATGAGTAACAGGGAAGATAACTGAAACTTAGCAATTAAGGGCAAGTAAACATATAGCAACTACTTTAAACTGTAACAACTTTAAAATGGTTTGGGTTTTTTTGGATTTTGTTTTTTTTTAAACTAGGAACGAAAAGGAAAGGGTAAGTATAAACTGGGTCTGAACCAGAAATAAGAAACAAGCTTGAATTCCTCACGAACAGAAGAGATCCAAGGAGAGAGGTTTCCTCCATCTGCAGCCTGAGACAGTTGAAAGGAACTGGCTCAGACTGGACCGTAGGGTGTGAACGCCGCAAGACGCTCCCTGCGCATGCACAGTCCGGCCAGACTACTGCTGCGAAAAATCTCTGTTCTGCGGTGCTGGGGCAAGCCCAGCACCTACAGTGGAGCACCCATGGGGACATCACTCAAAGAAAAAGCCAGGTTGCGAAAAACCCTGGTTTTAGGGACTTTTGGTGAGGGAGAGATTTGAATGTTAGGTTACTAAAATATTTACAGTAAAATATATCTGGACTTTAGTAATACTAGAAACAGGTCTTAATTTCAGACGGTGAATGTAAGTTCCAACTATTCTATAATGTTAAAATGCAATTGATATGAGTATTCTTGTTCTGTTTACACCTACTACACAACAGTTTTTTAAAATAAAAAGTGCACTGTGTATATACCCAGAGACTGCCTATGACAACTCCTGTAAATATATATGAAATATATAAACAGGAGAAAACACTAGCCAGGCTGCAGTCACAAATACAGCTCCTGGTATTCACTATATCATTACTAATCTTTTTTTGTTTAAATGTGTAAAAGATTTGCTATGCAGCCAGTCATAAAGAAATGTCATAGGATCTGACAGAAATCTAACTAAGTCAATGGAATGATTCCCATTAACCTCAATGGATTTTAAATCAGACCCTTAAGCCAGAGAACTCTCTATTAAGGGCTCTTCCATTATTAAACAATACCAATTTAAAAGGCATTTTTATAAAACAGAGTATACACTTATCCTCAGTAATTTGAAAAATTATAAAATATTTTATAAGTTTCATGGTGGCAACTATTTGAATTTGGTTACATCCTCTGTTTCCCACAGAGTAAAAAAACAGTTTAGCTTCTCCTTGGGACCTTTACCACCATAATTCTTATTAGACACGATCAAGCACAGTGATGAGTACTGTGGCAGTTCCCCCACATGCTTTATGAAAATTGGCTAATGAATATTAATATGCATAAGTCAGGCATGCTTTGAACAAAATATTTCCTGTAACCTATCAATTTTAACGTTACAAATGGCTGGATCTGTATGTCCTATATCTCTACATCCTTTTGGTGCAGGTATCATTCTTGTATGAGAAGTCAGAAATATAAAGTATGAGACGGTTTATAGTTTTAAATGTGCTAATCAGAGCCATTACTAGTGCCCCACCCCCAAAGCCTTAACAACTTGGTGATCAACAGCCTGTAATTCCAAAGGTGATTGGATGAGTAATATATGTGATCATACCACCTGGTACTGGGATTCCATATTGACCTGGTATTTTTCCATGGAAGGGGAATAAAGGATTCCCACCCTGGGGAAAAGCCTATTTAAGCAATGGAAGGCTATCAGCTCTTTGTCTTTGGCTGGCCTGGAAAACCCTGAAAGGATACAAAGGGCTAGAAACTCAGGTAAGGGTAAAAGAGTTTGATTCTGACCTGAAGATTATACCTGAAATAAGAATAGGTCTTTATGTTAAGAATCTGCTTGAAATTAGTTCTAATTCAGTAAAAAACTTATCATATGTTTTCTTTTCATTTTAATTTAGTTTGATCTGTCTGTTTTCCCCTGCAACCATTTAAATCCAATTGTTTGTACTAAATAAAAACACTTTATTTTCTATCATTTGGAACTGGTCTTCCTCTACCAGAAGTGGCATTCCGCCGTGTGCAGGGGAGGATGGAGGGGAATTTGGTGCATGAGGAGCACCAGGGCCTGGGTCAACAGGCCTACAGTCTGGGCACCATGTGGGCAGTCTGCATGAACTGCATCATGATGTGCAGCATGAGGGCCAAGAGCCTGGCACTGCTTTGCAGCAGCTCCAGCTCCATGATGAGTGCTGTGGCATCCGCAAGGGCAACCAGAGCATGCAATGTGAGCAGGAGCGGCCCTAGACTAGCTGCCAGCAACTGGTGCCCTACATGAACCATGCAATCAGCACCCCCATCTCCAAATCCTTCAACAATATTGTGCCACCATTTCACTTGAATTTGGCGCCCCATTTAACTTGGCACCCTAGGCGACCGCCCAGTTTGCCTATATGGATGGGCGGCCCCTGAATGTGAGTTTGGTGTCTCTCGAGGGGGTAGTCAGCAGAGAAGTGGAGTGTGAGACCCGGCTATAGAGGAGTCCCTTTAATCATGAGTCTCAGCTAGCCTCAGGAAGCAATTAGAGGAAGTGACTGTTCTCCTGATGCCCTCCCCTGAATGCTTCCGGGGTGGCTTTAAATGCAATTCAGGTTCCTATCAGTGTGGATATGCTATTTTGATGGTGCCTTATAGAGTGGACGAGCTATTTCAAAATAGCTTTTCGGGGAGTTATTTATTTTGAAATAACTTATTTTGAAATCATTTCCCAGTGTAGACATGCCCTGATAAAGTATCACAGATCTACATCCAGGAACCTTGTAAATGGGATATATACACACAATAAAGGGGATATTTCGGGAAAATTGTGTTTAATGGTAACTTGAAATTGTGCTTTAAAACACAATTTAGAGTAAATTTATTTCTACAATGCTTTTAGATTATTTCTACACCCAGCTGTGTTTTGAAGTCCTCTAGCCCAACATACTTATAATATAAAGAGAAATAATCCTGGAACAAGATATAAGATTATACATAAAAGATTTCTATTTAACCTGTTCATACTGTATTATGAATAATACACTTCATGATAAAAACAAAGCCATAATATATTAAATGTTTACATTTCTATCACATTGATATATATAAACTTTTTTGATTAAAGCTATTTCTCAACTCCTTTGTTATGCAAAAAGTAAAAAGAGTCAAGTGAGAATTTTACACTGTACACAGAAATAGTCTCTATAGACTCAAATAATATGTTCATAGTTGCTTATGTTATAGAGCTTTAATGACATCTGTCTGACTTGATTAATGTTGCCACTAGTCTGGAGTCAAACAGAAAGTTCCTTTTGATGACAACCAGCACTCCCTAAATCAAATCAAGAAATCAGAGCAGCACATCCATCAACATGAACAATTAACTTCAAAATCAATTGCTTATTAATGGATAACAAAATGTATCGCACCCAAAGGAGTGACAACTAAGGTCCAATTCTCTCAGGCTGTAATAAACCTCCTTCTGCTAAATAAAAATAATAAATGAAAACAGGTTATGTTTAATTGATTTGTTACAAGACATTTACATCTATAAACAAGAATATGCTTGATATTTCTCTATTTCAGTTAGTGTTATTTACAACATAGCATTACCATAGTGTAATTATTGTATTAGAAATGCAATGCATGACATCAAATATGTAGTATTCCAAAGGGAAAGACCCAGTGAAGATATAATATTAATGTTAAGAAATCAAGAAATTAAAAGGTCTACAAATGCAGAATTGAAGATGAAAGCTCCTTAAATCCATAATAATGGGAAACACTCCAGTACCCACTGTATCAAGTCCACAGACATCTTTAATTTATACAGACAGTAAAGTGTAAGGAATTCAGTTTACCTGCCTAAAGAATAAGCTGAAACATGCCTGCCTAGACTGAAAGCTGCAGCTCCAGGACTTTCTGGACTTAAGCATGAGCAGAAAGCTGCTCCATGCCTTCTTACACTTACAACAAATAATGCAACTCTAGTCCTATCTTCAAGTCAGATCCTTTAAAAATGCCTTTTGAGGTGAAATCCTGGCCTTTAAAAATCCTAGCCTATTAAAGTCAATGGCAAAACTTCCATTAACTTCAGAAGGGGCCAGGATTTCATCCAGAAAGGCTGAATTTTCAAAGTACGTACACGTACACATACACGTACACACACACAGTACGCTATATACATACACACGTACAAAAGCAACTACTGTGCACAGCTGGACACACTTAATTACACAAAATCAAACTGCAGACATAAGCATTTAACTTTCTTCAAACAAAAGAAGCAAATATTTCCGAAAAGACAGAACATGTGGTTTATCTCTTTAAAGTGCCTGTGCCAAGATCTGTGTTAAAGTCCTAATGAAAGTGCAGTTTAGTTTTGTTTTTTTAAATCTGGAAAGCATAGCTGTTTGATTCAAGACTCACATGCTGCATCAAATTCAAGGCTCTTAGAAAAGAGAAAGAAAGGGTCAAGAGAAGTATTACACGACTTCATTTTCTCCCATTTTAAGCATCTGTTTTACAAAAAAAATCCAATTTTTAGCAAGAAGCAGCTACAAATGCCAATGTAGATTGTATGCCAGTTGTCTTTACCACTGACACAACTGGGTGATAAAAACTCCTGTCTTCTGTGTACACTACTGTATACAGAACTGCTGCAGCTGAATTGTTGCTGAAAAATGTAAATAATTTTCTAGCATAGGAAACGTCTAAGAATGCAAGAATCCAGAAACATAACAACATCTCATCAATTTCAGCAAAAAGATGTAGAACAAGCCACAACTAGTTCTGTGCATCAGCTGGGATACTTTATATTTCTTGTTCACATTCTGAATGTATTAAACACATATAAAGAAGGGATAAAAATCTCTCTCTCATCTCTCACCTTTTTTTCCATTGTTAAGCTTCAATTGTATAGCCGCTAAATCACCTTAACTGCTTAGTGCATTCTCACTTCTTTCAATAACACTGTGAAAACACAAAGTACTGTTGCATACTAAATTCTATCATTGCTTTTTCTTACACTAGATAATAAATAACTCCAAATGGTTTCTACAAAGGATAAACAATATTGCTCCTATGCTACTGGTAGCACAAGTATCTAAAAGATTTAGGGAGAAATGAAAAGGACATACATTCCTATATCCATCAAACATTAGGGTACAAAAATAAATCCCTATGCTTCAGTGTATTTATCTCTCTTCCAATTCTCTAGCATTGTTGATCCCTGATATTTTTCTTCATACATGAGAGTATTGCTCACCTTGTGCAGTATGTTAGCATATAGTAATTTAAACAATTAACTGATAAGCCTGGGCTTATCCATTAATCCATATGACTACACATACTCCCCCTCTTGCTTCCTCTGTATCAAGAGGTGGGGGGAAGGCAGGAGCAGGTGCCCATGGGGAGCTGACTTTTATGGCCAGCTCCCCACCAGCACTGGATTCTGATGAACCACCTGCCCCCTCACCTTACCCCACCCTCCACCACCCACCCTGCTGTCTCTGAGGGTAGCAGGCAGAAGCTGGTACACACAGGAAGCCAGCTTTCCTGAAAGGTGGAGTCATGAACAGGTCACTAGTGGTTCAAATGGGGGTACACTAAGAACCCATAACACCAGTTTGAGGTTCCATGTTGTACATGGGGCTCATATTTCTGGGTAAATGTTACAAAGTCCCTTGAGGAAATGCTGGCTGTCAGATGAATGAAGATCAAGCACTCATCGGCTACGTCGAGACTGGCCCCTAATTCCGGAAAAGTCATGCAAAGCAGATGTCAGAATAGGGAAATCCGCGGGGGATTTAAATATCCCCCGCGGGATTTAAATAAACATGTCCACCGCTTTTTTTCCGGCTTGGGGAAAAGTAGGAATAAGAGATCCTCCGGAAAAGGGCTTTATTCCGGAGGATGGCGCCAGTCCAGATGCTTTTTTCCGGCTTTTCCCCAAGCCGGAAAAAAAGCGGCGGACATGTTTATTTAAATCCCGCGGGGGATATTTAAATCCCCCGCGGATTTCCCTATTCTGACATCTGCTTTGCATGACTTTTCCGGAATTAGGGGCCAGTCTCGACGTAGCCGATGAGTGCTTGATCTTCATTCATCTGACAGCCAGCATTTCCTCAAGGGACTTTGTAACATTTACCCAGAAATATGAGCCCCATGTACAACATGGAACCTCAAACTGGTGTTATGGGTTCTTAGTGTACCCCCATTTGAACCACTAGTGACCTGTTCATGACTCCACCTTTCAGGAAAGCTGGCTTCCTGTGTGTACCAGCTTCTGCCTGCTACCCTCAGAGACAGCAGGGTGGGTGGTGGAGGGTGGGGTAAGGTGAGGGGGCAGGTGGTTCATCAGAATCCAGTGCTGGTGGGGAGCTGGCCATAAAAGTCAGCTCCCCATGGGCACCTGCTCCTGCCTTCCCCCCACCTCTTGATACAGAGGAAGCAAGAGGGGGAGTATGTGTAGTCATATGGATTAATGGATAAGCCCAGGCTTATCAGTTAATTGTTTAAATTACTATATGCTAACATACTGCACAAGGTGAGCAATACTCTCATGTATGAAGAAAAATATCAGGGATCAACAATGCTAGAGAATTGGAAGAGAGATAAATACACTGAAGCATAGGGATTTATTTTTGTACCCTAATGTTTGATGGATATAGGAATGTATGTCCTTTTCATTTCTCCCTAAATCTTTTAGATACTTGTGCTACCAGTAGCATAGGAGCAATATTGTTTATCCTTTGTAGAAACCATTTGGAGTTATTTATTATCTAGTGTAAGAAAAAGCAATGATAGAATTTAGTATGCAACAGTACTTTGTGTTTTCACAGTGTTATTGAAAGAAGTGAGAATGCACTAAGCAGTTAAGGTGATTTAGCGGCTATACAATTGAAGCTTAACAATGGAAAAAAAGGTGAGAGATGAGAGAGAGATTTTTATCCCTTCTTTATATGTGTTTAATACATTCAGAATGTGAACAAGAAATATAAAGTATCCCAGCTGATGCACAGAACTAGTTGTGGCTTGTTCTACATCTTTTTGCTGAAATTGATGAGATGTTGTTATGTTTCTGGATTCTTGCATTCTTAGACGTTTCCTATGCTAGAAAATTATTTACATTTTTCAGCAACAATTCAGCTGCAGCAGTTCTGTATACAGTAGTGTACACAGAAGACAGGAGTTTTTATCACCCAGTTGTGTCAGTGGTAAAGACAACTGGCATACAATCTACATTGGCATTTGTAGCTGCTTCTTGCTAAAAATTGGATTTTTTTTGTAAAACAGATGCTTAAAATGGGAGAAAATGAAGTCGTGTAATACTTCTCTTGACCCTTTCTTTCTCTTTTCTAAGAGCCTTGAATTTGATGCAGCATGTGAGTCTTGAATCAAACAGCTATGCTTTCCAGATTTAAAAAAACAAAACTAAACTGCACTTTCATTAGGACTTTAACACAGATCTTGGCACAGGCACTTTAAAGAGATAAACCACATGTTCTGTCTTTTCGGAAATATTTGCTTCTTTTGTTTGAAGAAAGTTAAATGCTTATGTCTGCAGTTTGATTTTGTGTAATTAAGTGTGTCCAGCTGTGCACAGTAGTTGCTTTTGTACGTGTGTATGTATATAGCGTACTGTGTGTGTGTACGTGTATGTGTACGTGTACGTACTTTGAAAATTCAGCCTTTCTGGATGAAATCCTGGCCCCTTCTGAAGTTAATGGAAGTTTTGCCATTGACTTTAATAGGCTAGGATTTTTAAAGGCCAGGATTTCACCTCAAAAGGCATTTTTAAAGGATCTGACTTGAAGATAGGACTAGAGTTGCATTATTTGTTGTAAGTGTAAGAAGGCATGGAGCAGCTTTCTGCTCATGCTTAAGTCCAGAAAGTCCTGGAGCTGCAGCTTTCAGTCTAGGCAGGCATGTTTCAGCTTATTCTTTAGGCAGGTAAACTGAATTCCTTACACTTTACTGTCTGTATAAATTAAAGATGTCTGTGGACTTGATACAGTGGGTACTGGAGTGTTTCCCATTATTATGGATTTAAGGAGCTTTCATCTTCAATTCTGCATTTGTAGACCTTTTAATTTCTTGATTTCTTAACATTAATATTATATCTTCACTGGGTCTTTCCCTTTGGAATACTACATATTTGATGTCATGCATTGCATTTCTAATACAATAATTACACTATGGTAATGCTATGTTGTAAATAACACTAACTGAAATAGAGAAATATCAAGCATATTCTTGTTTATAGATGTAAATGTCTTGTAACAAATCAATTAAACATAACCTGTTTTCATTTATTATTTTTATTTAGCAGAAGGAGGTTTATTACAGCCTGAGAGAATTGGACCTTAGTTGTCACTCCTTTGGGTGCGATACATTTTGTTATCCATTAATAAGCAATTGATTTTGAAGTTAATTGTTCATGTTGATGGATGTGCTGCTCTGATTTCTTGATTTGATTTAGGGAGTGCTGGTTGTCATCAAAAGGAACTTTCTGTTTGACTCCAGACTAGTGGCAACATTAATCAAGTCAGACAGATGTCATTAAAGCTCTATAACATAAGCAACTATGAACATATTATTTGAGTCTATAGAGACTATTTCTGTGTACAGTGTAAAATTCTCACTTGACTCTTTTTACTTTTTGCATAACAAAGGAGTTGAGAAATAGCTTTAATCAAAAAAGTTTATATATATCAATGTGATAGAAATGTAAACATTTAATATATTATGGCTTTGTTTTTATCATGAAGTGTATTATTCATAATACAGTATGAACAGGTTAAATAGAAATCTTTTATGTATAATCTTATATCTTGTTCCAGGATTATTTCTCTTTATATTATAAGTATGTTGGGCTAGAGGACTTCAAAACACAGCTGGGTGTAGAAATAATCTAAAAGCATTGTAGAAATAAATTTACTCTAAATTGTGTTTTAAAGCACAATTTCAAGTTACCATTAAACACAATTTTCCCGAAATATCCCCTTTATTGTGTGTATATATCCCATTTACAAGGTTCCTGGATGTAGATCTGTGATACTTTATCAGGGCATGTCTACACTGGGAAATGATTTCAAAATAAGTTATTTCAAAATAAATAACTCCCCGAAAAGCTATTTTGAAATAGCTCGTCCACTCTATAAGGCACCATCAAAATAGCATATCCACACTGATAGGAACCTGAATTGCATTTAAAGCCACCCCGGAAGCATTCAGGGGAGGGCATCAGGAGAACAGTCACTTCCTCTAATTGCTTCCTGAGGCTAGCTGAGACTCATGATTAAAGGGACTCCTCTATAGCCGGGTCTCACACTCCACTTCTCTGCTGACTACCCCCTCGAGAGACACCAAACTCACATTCAGGGGCCGCCCATCCATATAGGCAAACTGGGCGGTCGCCTAGGGTGCCAAGTTAAATGGGGCGCCAAATTCAAGTGAAATGGTGGCACAATATTGTTGAAGGATTTGGAGATGGGGGTGCTGATTGCATGGTTCATGTAGGGCACCAGTTGCTGGCAGCTAGTCTAGGGCCGCTCCTGCTCACATTGCATGCTCTGGTTGCCCTTGCGGATGCCACAGCACTCATCATGGAGCTGGAGCTGCTGCAAAGCAGTGCCAGGCTCTTGGCCCTCATGCTGCACATCATGATGCAGTTCATGCAGACTGCCCACATGGTCCACTTTATGGTAGAATGCTGTGATAGCTATGAGGTGCCTAATCAAGCTCATGGAGAAGCCTGATTTCATACGTTCCATTATATAGCCCAGGACCAGTAGTAGAGAAAAAGATACTGTCATGATTTGTCTATTTTTGCACCATGTATTGAATTGTCTCCATTCGTTCAAGTATGCATGTCGCATAGTAGGTCTAGGACTATTTAAAAATATCCTTACTTCCTTTGAACAGATCATTTTGATTTCTCAGAGTCATAGACACCTTGAGGTGGAGTC